AATTAGGCTGAATTAAGATTAGGCATTCAGCTTGTTTGAGGTTGCAACCAGAATCCTTTTGAAGTTCTAACATGCGGTACAGTAGAACCTATGAATGGCAACAATAACCCGTAAATACATTATAAGTATAGTATACTTAGATTTCAGTAAGGCATTTGACAAAGTAGACCACAACCTACTTCTTGGTAAGCTAGAAAGAAGCGGAATAACAACATCACCACCAGATGGATTTGTAGCTGGCTGACAAACTGTACTCAACGAATGGTCCTCAATGGCACTACATCCACATGGAGAGAAGTAAGCAGTGGTGTACCATAAGGCTCCATCTTAGGCCAAGTACTCTTCAATATCTTTATAAATGACTTAGATGAGGGAGTAGAAGGGGAACTCATCAAATTTGCAGATGACACTAAACTGGCAGAAATAGCCAACACCCCAGAAGACAAGCTCAGGATCTAAAAAGATCTTGACAAACTTGAACAATGTGCCCTATCCAACAAAATCAACTTTAATGTGGAGAAAAGCAAAGTTTTACATTTAGGCAGGAAAAATCAAAGGTATAAGTACAGATTAGGTGAGAACTGGCTCAAAAACAGTAACTGTGAGAGGAACCTTGGAGTCCTAGTGGATGATCACTTGAATATGAGCCAGCAGTGTGCAGCAGCAGCCAAAAAAGCTAATACAATCCTGGGATGTATAAAGAGGCATAGAATCAAGATCACACGAAGTACTAGTACCGCTTTATAAAACCCTAGTGAGACCACACCTGGAATACTGCAGCCAATTTTCGTCACCATATCACAAAAAGGATGTTGAGACTTTGGAAAAAGTTCAGAGAAGAACAACTAAGATGATCAAAGGCCTGGAGACTAAAACATACGAAGAACGACTGCAGGACTTGGATTTGGCTAGTCTAAAGAAAAGAAGAAACAGGGGAGACAAGATAGCAATATTCCAGTATTTGAGGGGCTGCCACAAAGAAGAGGGGGGTCAAACGATTCTCCAAAGCACCAGAGGGCAGGACAATTTATTTTTACATTCTTTTCAGAACTGATAAAACTGACCAATCCATCTGGAAATATTTTCATCTAAGTACCAATGATAACTGATACTGAAAACACACTTTAAAAAGAGAATCTCCAACTTTATCCCCAGACACAAAAAATAAATATTAACTATTACTTTTGACCTGCTGCAAAGATTTCCTACTGATTGATTTATATAGACCTGTTTTGGTCACACACAAGAATAAATGTCCTCAAAGATGCCACAGAAAATGCTTTCAAGTTATAAGAATTGCCTAGCTGACTTATTTGGAAACTAAAAAAAAACCCAACACTTTACTTTTCAGAATGATTAAAGAAAGGAACAACTATTGTAAAGCAATGATTATGGCTGATTCTCATCAGTGCTCATGAGAAGATTACGGTCTTTCCTTTTGTTCTTTGAACCTTTGAATTCAGGAGTTGGCAACAGATGCTATGATCATACTCCATAGGACCTTTTCTCTTTTGAGGCCTAAACCTACTTTCAACCTAAAGTTTAAAAACAAGGCGCAGATCAAGAAGTTATCTAAAAGTTATCTGGTTGAAAACATTAAATATAAACTTACTTGGAGCCCACTGGCCATTCTAGTGACAAGAAACAATGGATCAAAACTAATCAACGAGGGAAGCAACCTGCAATTAAGGAGAAACTTCCTAACAGTTAACATTGGACAATTAACCAGTGGAACAGCTTGCCTTTGGAAGTTGTGGGTGTTTCATCACTGGAGGCTTTTAAGAAGAGATTGGACAGTCACTTGTCTGAAATGGCAAAGGGCAGTGATGGCGAACCTTTTAGTGACCGAGTGCCCAAACTGCAACCCAAAACCCACATGTATCGTCGGGTGCCAGGTGGGCGTGGCCAATTGGGTGGGCATGGCTGCGGGGGTAACGGCAGACTGGGTGGGACTAAAAAGTTCAGTCAATTCCAACTTTGCGAGATATTTTTTCCCTGCGAGAAGTTGAAATTGATTGATTAATTGAACCTTCTTTTTTTTTGCACACGGCAGCAGAGGCCTAAACCGAAAAGGTTTTATAAAACCTAGCTGAAGGCCTAGGACTGGGGCGATGGCGCCCGTGCCCACAGAGAGGGCTCTGCGTGCCACAGGTTTGCCACCACGGGCATAGGGTCTCCTGCTTGAGCAGGGGGCTGGATTAGAAGACCTCCAAGGTCCCTTCCAGCTCTACTCTCATTGATTGATAGTGGAAGGATGCTGCATAGAAAAGGATATATAATGGGAATAGGTAATGGTCCCTTTTTGGAAAGTGTCAGCTGACTATAGTACTTATGGAAGAATGTTTGTGGGACAAATGCACATAAATACATGCAGAAACAATTAGCACAGCCAATCCATAGAAACATTTCAAATCATTTTATAATGAGACCAATAAATAAAATGTAACAAGAAAAAAATATCATTCTATACCCAATAGTTTTTTTCCCTACTACAGGCTAGAAGGAGAAAAGTCAACAAGAATAATTTTTGCCACATTTATAGAAAGAAGCACAAACTAAAATTTAGCAGGATCAGGTAGGCCATAGCAGGGGGGAAAAACCCAGAAGCATAAGATTTTGAGAGTTGAGGAAAACAGTTACATTATCAAGAACCATGACAAATATTTTGTTCTCTTCTGGGTTTAGTTTGGAGAGCAAATACAAAATAATGCTCTTAGATATTATAAAAATACATACTTTTTTGAAACATGGCTTGGTGGGTGGGTGAGTGAGTAGAGAGCTATTTGGCAACTAGCCAGGTTAGGAAAGTCCCTGAGTAATAACTCTAATTCTAAGTTAATTCAACATCTGTTCTGCTGGGTTTAGTCAAATCATTTTATTTTAATGACTCATCAGAACGTATTTTTTATTTATGGAGTCATATACTGGGACTGTTCCTCATAAGAGGACATTTTCTTTACTAAAATTGCTGTAAAAATGACTTTTATTCATTTTTTTCACCTTTACTAGGAATGCTTGTTTCTAAGTGGTCAGTTGTTGCATCACTTTTTCAGGATCTGTATTATACTTCCAGACTAGTGGAAGTAAGTTATCAAGTAGTGTTCTGTAGGGGAGATGGGATGTATTTAATTTTCCCAAGAATTTCAAAAGATAGCTGATTATATTTTAGTAGCAGTTGTAGCAGTTGTTTCCATGGACCTCTACATGGTGGCTATTGAGTAGCATACACCTCTTAAATATGTTACAGCTATTACCTCAAATGATTCAAAACTTGCTTTTGTTTTGTTTGGGTTGAAAATCCCCTGAGTGTGTTTCAGAGGGAAGTCCACAGATTCATTTTTCTTGCTGGCCTCTGAGAGACTTTCACACCTGCAGCCAAAAATAAAAACAACTGTTGTGCTATAGCAATATATGTTTTTGGACCATCTTTTCTTGTATGGACACCAGGAAAGGATGGTGTCCCCTCTAGAATTTAGAAGTTGTTGCTATTGCTGCTGCTGCTGCTGCTGCTGCTAAGCAACATTCTGCAGCTTGCTTTTTAAAACCTAAATTAAGAGTCTGAGGCAGGAAACAGGTTGTCTTCTGAAGTTTTTCCTCTTGGAATACCTTTCAGTAGGTTCTCTGAAAAACGTGGAATAGAAAATTGTAGGTAGCCTTTATTTGACAGGTATTTTAACTTTTGAATTGAAACATCTGGGGAAAAGAGTCTAAGCATACTGAATCTGGGCTTGGTTCTGCGTTCAAACCTTTGTGTGGAAATGTTTGCATTTTATGGAGTATTCGTAAATAATAAAGTATAAACAGCTTAATTGCATACACTTTTATTATTTCAACTAACAAAAAAGGACTAAGAAACCCTTAAGTATTACTAAATCCAGCAGGAACACATGAGGCCCCAGTGACTCACAAAAGCACCCAGAAGTATTGAGTGTGGTCCCAGTGTCTTGAAAAGTTGCCACCAAATTTTTTTAATGAGAAAGAACAGGAAAGTTAGCAATGCATTTGAAGAAGCATAACCATATTTCATTCAGCTTAATTATATTTAATTAATGAATGAAAATTAAAGCTAACACATTTTCTGTCCTAATCTTGTTTACTTTTAGAAGTGTATAACCCAGTCTTGCCTCAAAAGTGCCTCAAAAGCACTCCTGGGGATATAGCATATCTAAGCATGTCTATCTAGCTGCTTTTTAGGTATAATCAGTCATGTAAAAAGAAAAATAATATCTATGTATTTTACATTCAACGGCTATAACACTAATTCCAGTTGTGTGAAGTTGTATTAATTTATTCTAACACGTTACTTAAAAATAGAAACACTTTCATCACATCACTGGCTGCAGAACTAAACCGTGGTTTGTTAAAAGACAGATTGGATGATAGTTTATAAGGATTCCTGGCAGAATCTAGTTACTTTGTTTGCAATGTATTATCTGCATAAGTATGTTACCTTCAATGAAAAACACTTCTGAGGCAGCCTATGGCTTGGATAGAAATTGTATTCTTTTCAGGCATTATGCCAGCCACGCCTATAAATCTCCTCTCCCATTTCTCTGTTTAAAAAGACTCTGCCCCTCTACCCCACAAGGCACTCTGGACACTCTGAACAATTGGAAATCTCAGTCTCATGGAGGTCTCTAATGACATTCAGATGGACAATGGCCTTCCCTTTTAGCCCTGGTGAAGCAGAGAAAGTCCTTGGTGCTGTTGGGGAAACTACCTGTTAAATCCATGACCACCTCCCCAGCTTCCAGAGTGGGATCATGTAAAGGATCCAGACACTGGTAAATGCATCCTTGAGACTTTTCAGTAGCTTTTGCTACTATCGGACATGGTATTCTTTTGGATCAGCTCAGTGGATTGAGAGTATGGAGGATTGCATTGCAGTGATCTTTTTTTCTCCTTCAGGATTGGAGCCATGTTGGAGTCATGTTCAGGATTGGAGTCATGTTGAAGTCATCTTGATTATTGTGATGGTTTCACAATAACTTTAAGGTTTAATGTGCTTCTTTCTTCTTCTTTTTTTTCTGCAGTCGTACTTTGTTACAGATTATGATCCCACAATTGAAGACTCCTACACAAAACAATGTGTAATAGATGAAAGAGCAGCAAGATTAGACAGTAAGTTTCTTACTCATTTTGTGTTGGGTGTGGAACGTTTGTTTAAGGACTGGGTCCATTTTCATTATTTGTATTCACTTCTTTAATTGTTCCTCTCTTGACTTTCTGCAAGCATGTAGAACTTCTACATACATGGAAGGTGGAACATATCAGCTCCATTTCTCCTCTACAGTGATTTTCTATAGTCTTCCCATGCAGAAATTAAATCTATGTAACCTTTTACCTCCCATGTGTAGAATTATTATAGAACAGTATTATAGGATGGAGAAAACCTCACTACTCTTGTTCTAGAGGTGTTCCAAGTTCTATAAGGCAGTACTGGACATGGTATATACATGTGTCTGTATAATAAATATGCATCACGTTTGCTTTCCCATAAAGTCATGTTAGAGTTAATTTTTAAAGATTAAATAAAGTATGTGTGATATGTCAGGGAAATATCTGCTATTGTACCTCTCAACATTTGACTGTTTGAAGTTTCCTCTTTGTTGACTTTCAGTATTGCAGTTAATCTGGAGACAAAGTTTAAAAGAAGCATTGGAGTGTGTAGCAGAAAGGCATGGGTGGGGGTATGTTTAGTTTAAGAGAACATGAGCTTGGTGTCAAGACTGCTAACATCGGATGTTCTTGCTTGCCATATATGAAGAAGCAAACATGTTTTATTTAACCTGCATATCACTTCTAGAGTTAAAGTCAGACAATGTTAGAATAGCGGGTGGGAAAGTATGTACTTGGGGGGATAGTTAGCCACAACAATATTTCAGTACAGTATTGCCAAGGTCAGCTGTAACCAGAGGAGTTACAGGAGGGAAAGTTCACACTTCAAACTAATTGGAGAACGTGATTGATGAGTGTGAAATGAAGGAGTGAGTTATGCTTTGTTACTGGTGATTGGGGGTGGGAGGATTCAGTTTTTGGCTTCATTATGTACCTGCCGAAGCTATGTAGCAATAAAAGGATTCTTTAAGGTAAACAAAGCCTCAAAGTTCTTTGAAAAGCTGCTTCTTTCAGAACCATGACACTTGGTTTTTAAAAATAATTTAAACTACAGTTAATGCATGGAGGTTGCAAAGAAAGTTCTTTAGGTAGGAAAACTAACTAGTCTTTTTATTTTTAGTTCTAGATACAGCAGGCCAAGAAGAGTTTGGAGCTATGCGGGAACAATATATGAGGACTGGGGAAGGCTTTCTGCTTGTCTTTTCAGTCACAGACAGAGGAAGGTAATGGAAGTGGGTATGAGATCTATCAGATCTACTGTAGCTAGAATAAGTAACACAGATTACTTAGGAGTATTTGGCCCTGGTTTTCGACACAGTGAAATAATCCTTTCTGCAGAGATCCACGGAAATGTCTGACTAATTCAGTTCAAACAAGAAAATGGTGAATTTAGTTTTGTTGAGTATAGCTTTACCTTCCCACAAAGAAGAGTTTCGGGACAGGACAAGAAGCAATGGATGGAAATTAATCAAGGAGAGAAGCAACCTAGAACTAATGAGAAATTTCCTGACAGTTAGAACAATTAATCAGTGGAACAACTTGCCTCCAGAAGTTGTGAATGCTCCAACACTGGAAGTTTTAAAGAAGAGATTGGACAACCATTTGGCTGAAATGGTATAGGATTTCCTGCCTGAGCAGGGGGTTGGACTAGATGACCTCCAAGGTCCCTTCCAACTCTATTATTCTATTAAGTGTTGTGAGATAACAGAACTACCAATTTGGATAGTTCCTAACAATTTTTCTTCCCTTATTTCTCAGTTTTGAAGAAATTTATAAATTTCAAAGACAAATTCTTAGAGTAAAAGATCGCGATGAGTTCCCTATGATTCTAGTTGGAAACAAAGCTGACCTGGACCATCAGAGACAGGTAAGAATTTGGTAGGAATGAAATGCCAAAAAGAATGTGGCGCTTTTTCTTAATGCAGGTATAGAAGAATATATGGCAGTGGGTTTAGTTCTTGACATCTCCAGATAGAATGCTTCCATTTGAAACTCTGGAGAGGTACTGCTCTAATTTTTCAGGAGGTTTCCTCTTGATGCATTAATTATTTGCCATCAAGTTGGCATCGACTTTTAGCAACCACATTCTGGCATAAAGTAGGTCAGGCTGTCTTGCTCTGCAGTTAAGAAGTTTCATACTTAAATATTTAGATAAGAAGCCATTCTTCTTAATTTATGAAAGCCTTTCTGCATTAAATCAACTTTTTCTCTGAGCAATTGCCATATGAATGTTATTCAGGACAATATCTAAGCGATGAGACAATTATCATGACATCATTATTAAAGCACGAGTCTCTTTCCAATTATGTTTCCAGCATTTCCGATACCAACTATTACTCATAGCATTTGAGACTGAGGATTGTTTTTCATTCGTAGTAGTAATAATAATAACCCTTTCAGAAAATTGATTTATTAGAATTAAAAGAGAAGTTATTTTGAAATAAATAAACATGTAAAGAGGAAATCATTTAGCAATATGGATGAAAAATAGTAGAATCTTCCTGTCAGGGAAAGTACTTGGCATTTATGAGAGATGCCTCTGTTCTCCTTTCCCCATCAAACAGCCAGCATCATGGATGCCTTGTTGAAGGGATGACCCAAATGCCATGGCAATATGATATATAGTACATAATTTGCACATAGTGCACATGACATCACTTGCTCTCCTCTTCACCTGAACACTATGTCCATTATTACGTCACAGTGGCTACTGATATGGAATGCTGTTATGTATGACTGTAACATTTATATAGCATAATTTCTTATAACAAATTGGATATTTGGCTTCATTGGTTGATAGTCTTTATCTCTGCTTTGCTTAATCTCTTGTGGGCTCAAATTAAAAAGCATCTTTACTGTTCAAAATAATTTAATCACAGTTGATGGGAGAAATTGCAGTCCAGCAAAAGAATTTGTTCCATGGTGAGGACAGAGCCTGAATTAGGTTACCCTAGTTACCCAAAACACACCAGTGTTTGCTGTTACCTGCAGCATATCTTTTATTTCTGTTCTCAGGTAACACAGGAGGAAGGTCAGCAACTAGCACGGCAATTGAAAGTAACCTATATGGAAGCTTCAGCAAAAATACGACTCAACGTAGATCAAGCTTTTCATGAACTTGTTCGGGTTATAAGGTAAACTTTGAATTGCAAATGCACTGAAATACATTTTAATTTCTTTTCTTTTGAAAAGTAGATTTTCTTCTTTTCTCTTTTATTACTCATGGAGTTTATTCTTTGATTGTTTTACATACAGGGAGAGGGCCAAAGTCATACATAAAATTGTCATGTTTTTATAAAAAAACCCAAACTTACGTGTATATGAATTCTCTTTATAAACAGAAAGTACACTGTTTCAGATATAGTAATCTCAACAACATTAGCTTCTGTGTCTCAGGTAAATAATTTGCCAAGAGCTACAGGATGCTCTGTTCCTTAGATCAGGGGTCCCCAACCCCTGGTCTGTGGACTGGTACCGGTCCGCAGCATGCCAGCAACCAGTCCACACAAACAAGCAAAGCCCCATCCGTGGGATGCAGGCAGCACACAAAACCATGCCCCCTCCGGTCCATGGAAAAACATCTCTCCAAGTAACCGGTCCCTGGTGCCCAAAAGGTTGGGGACCTCTGCCTTAGATGATATAATGAGACCATTTCAGTAATGTAACTCTAACAATGGATCAAAATGAACACTTTTTTTCAAATCAGTTTTCACTTCATTTTTAATCAGTTTCTTAAAAGAGAGTGCTTATTTTTTCTATTAGCATGACATTCTTTGGAAAGTTATTTTTGTTCACAAGTCCAATTTGATGGATGAAACTTTTCCCAAGATTTGGAATCTCTTTTCTTTGCCATCCTTGCTTTTTGTTATTAATGTTATCAATAAAAATTGCCTGCTGCTAAATACTTTGAATATACCAGAGAACTTTATTAACTTTATCATATTTTTGTTAGCATTACTGAATTTATACTTCTGCTAAGATTTTTTTAAATTAAAAGTCTTTGTATATGACATCTCACATACAAAGTCCCAAACGGGTTACATAAATAATATCATTCTAATATCAAGCAGAATAAAAATAAAATGAAGAGCTATCCATTCAAATAGAAATATCAGGGGAAGTTTGCCATGGTAATGAGTTAGAAGCTAAATGATGCAATGTTAGGAATGACTCAGCAGGAGTCTGTATCCCTTTAAGAGCTTGAATATAAAAGAGAAGGCCTTGCTGGAGTCTCTCTCTCTCTCGTCCGTTTCCTGCTGTAATTGCTGTGTATTGATACATGTATGTATCTTATTTCTAGTGTATATTTGTAGATAGTATAAGGTAAACCACCATTTAAATACCAACCATTGTGTACTGTATTTACTCCTGGGTTACCTCAGTGCATGCTCTGACAAAGTTAATGGCTAAAAAAGTAAAAAGATGTTTTGTACGATACCTGCAATCCATCACTATTGAGATATGCAGAGGAGAGATGATTCTGAAACATAGTCCATGGAAAAGGACATCAGCATCACAACCAACATCGAGACGTTAAGACACAGAAAACAAAATGCCCCACAAAGGTTGTAGAGACCAAAAAGCCTGATGTAATGGAGAGTTTGCTTGGTCCCAAATTATTAAGTCTTTCTTTGTATACTAATGCAGACATCTTAGCCTATCCCAACTATAGGCTTCCTGATGACATTCATTAGGATGACTAAGGACTTTCCTGTCCCTTAATTAGGCAGAATTTAACTGGAATGATCTAGTTAGTATGAGGATGGTGGGAAAAGATTGTGCTTAACATTTGGGCGGGGGGGCTATAAAGCAGATGACCCTGATCAGCTATGTGGATGGTGCAGGGTTTGCAGGGCGAAGTCTTGGAACTTTTTGTGAATTTAGCAATCAGGTGAGGCACTGAGGGCCACTAATAGAAGCTTTGGAGATTTCAATAGATTACCGACTTTAGACATGTCACACAACGTATCGGAGCTTTTTGCCATTGCCGGCAATGGGGTGGCCGTGGTTTCCTGATGACGTGTCCGCATGTGGGCCGGCAGTTTGACACCCCTGGCCTACTCCCTATTCTAGATAATTGATGTCTTCCAACTACTTTTGCAGCTGTTTTATCATCACTCTCTTGAGCAGTCTCTAGAAATGAGGTATTTGTTACTAGGCAATAGATATTACATTCCTTTGTATCCTACAATACCTTTTGTAGGAGCAGCTGTATAGCCAGTTCTTTATTACATTTGCATATTTGTTTTCAAGTTTGATCTTTCTGTAAAGGAATAAGGTAGCATGGCTTATCTTCTTGCCACTTCCCCAAGTATTATTTTGTGATAGGATGGTTTAGGATGGTTCTGTGCTTGAATGGTGATATCAACCTGGATCTTCCCAGTCTGAGTCTAAAATATTGGAAATCCAATTCCTGACCTTTCAAATATGACTACAAAAGTTAAGCCTGGAACATAAAAGTTGAGCATGCCAACTAAATATTGGCAGGAAATGCTATACTATAAGAGAGGAAGCTAGAATGGAAACATTCAGTATATTGCTGATAAGACGTGCTGAACAAATATCTAAATGGCCCATCTCAGTTAAACCCATTAGTGTGAAAAAATTCACTTCCATCCACTTCACTTTTATGCGGGTGCAAAGTGCTGTAATTAGCCTGGGCTCAATGGATTCTAGTTGGACCTTAAAAAAGCAAGACAGGAAGAAAATTGACTCGTTTGGGCTGTGGTGCTGGAGAAGACTTCTGTGTACTCCTTGGGACAGCAAAGGTGACTTAACAAGCAAGTACTAGAATGCATAATACCAGACATGTCACTGGAAGGCAAACTCACAAAACTGTGTCCCACTTATTTTTGGCCATGTCATGCGGGGGAATTCACTGGAGAAAGCAATTATGTTTGGAAGAATTAGTGGTAAAAGGAAGCCAGGCCACCAAAGAACATGGGCACCATCAAAGTCAACACCAGCCAAAGCATAGAACAATTCAAAATAGTAGTGCAAGATTGGAAGATGTGGAAAGGCCTGGCCCAAAGAATCACCAAGAGTTGGACATGATCAAATGGATAACATCTTCATCAATGAATTCCTAAAATTAAAATGTATTCCCATTTGGGGGGGGGGTGGATGCATGGGAGGAAACCAGGCATTGGTCTGTATGATATAGTCAGAGAAAGTTGGAGCAATGCATAAGCTAAGCAGACTTATATGTGGAACTGCATAGACTGAAGCCTTAAATCTTACCTGATTTTTTTTTCTTTCTTAGGAAATTTCAAGAACAAGAATGTCCTCCTTCCCCAGAGCCAACGAGGAAGGAGAAGGACAAGAAAGGGTGCCACTGTGTCATCGTCTAAAAATCCTTTAAAACAAGCTATCGACTGCCAGATTAATTCTCCTCACTTTTCTTCCTGTGTATCTTGATGTTTTGTCTTGCTTTACGTGTGCATGTTGTATAAATGGTCACCAAAATAGCCTTAGTTGGAAAGAATCAGACTGGTCCAGACCTAGAAGACACCTTAGTCATCTCACATCAGAGGTCAATACACTAAGGCTTCTTTTAATACTCCCAAATTCTTTTTCCCTTGAGTCAAGAAACTTGCACTTTGTGGAGTTTTATTCACAATGGACAAAAAAGTAGTTTTAGGAGTCTATTGAGGTCAAGCTTAAAATGGCTGTATGGGTATTCTCCCCCCTTCCCCCGTGAGATCTTTGTTGATCATACTCAAGAGAGAGAGAGAGTTCTCTAATCAATATGTAGAGTATTTTTTTAAAGAGTAGATTTGGAGGTTTTACCCTTTGATTAGATTAGACAACAAAATTCAGCCTGCCTTATAGGAAGCCAATACACTGAATTTCATTGGCAAAGTTTTGTGTTACAGCTCTTGTTTATGCTGCAGTTTTTTCCCAGTGCTCAACTGTCTACTGTATTTATTTTATGGCTCCAGCAATAGCTACAGGATTATTAGTATTACAGCTTTATGGCCAAATACCTGGGCTCATTATGGACTGGAGCATTTTAGTTTTAAATAATGTTACATCATGGTTTGGAATAAAATTGTGTCTTCCTTTTGTATTTCCAGGTAAGAGATTCCAGAAAAGTTAATCTGTAGCTTTTGTTTTTCATGTAATATAAAAAGAGGATTTTGCTCTTTCCATTGTCAGATGATTAAATGTTTTTTGCTATATACTTTTATACATTATTTTCTTATCAAACTAGTTAACAAGTATTTTTATATGTTTGTAAGCAAATATGCTTTCACGGCATAAGTTGTGTATATGTAAAGATGAGTATTTAATTCTCACAGTATACTTTCAACTGATGGAACTACATAATGCAAGATTTGTAGAACTGTGGCAGAACTCTTTCTTGTTCCAGCTTTACTGAATGATGGCAAGCCGATGTCTGCCCAATATACAGTATCCATTATCGTATCATGTTTTTCAAAAAACCTTCCGTATGCTCCACAAATGACTGACCATTATATAACTATTAAACTGTACAAATGTTTAACTGAATGTTCAGTTCAGTGGGCGATATCCAACTTTAAAGTATGCTAAATATGGTTAAGAATTTTGGGTTTACTCTGTGGGATTTACATACTTAGTGGGATTGATAATTTGCCATTTTCTGATATTGTAAAAGAGTGCCATACTGATTATTTTACAAAGTTTGATTATTTGATTATTCAGTATATTCTTAAGTAACATTAAACTGAATTTAAGGCAATAATTGACAGATCCACAATGGAGAGGTGAAAAAGACCTCAAATAACCATTTTCAGGCTGAAATTCCTTAAAAATCAGAATGTTCCAAATTCACCTAATGAAAACTGAGCAGAGTTGCTTTATAATCTAAATTACGTTGTCAGTATATACTAAACAAATTATTGAAACAGAACTTGAGCATAAAATATTTTAGAACTGCACATACATTCACAGCACAATAGGAGATGGAGGCCATAGTTCTCCTTAATACAGCTCCTGGTACTGTAGTTATATATTTATAAAATAAATAAAACCTTCATTCCCTGTGACAATGGGGACACATTCATATAATTTGGGCAACAATGTGGAAATGATGTGCCACTGCAGCTTCCTGAGATTTCCAGACAAAAATGCAACTCTATTTAATTTCCTGGTAGTCTTTCCTACTAGGACTAACTAGATTTGATGCTGTTTAACTTTTTGAAAGCAGCTAATGTCAGCCAAGTGAGTACATGTAAGCTGTCATTTGCAAAACAAAGTTAACTGGAGCAAGCAGGATGAATAACACAATTTAGATACATTTGCTCTTTTTGTAGAAGAAGAGCAACATTAGTGGAGAGTGGCAAAAAAAAAATCAGGAAACTTTTATCTCTACCAGATTCCCAGTGTTGTGCTCTTCCTTGATGAGTAACTGATTGATGTATACATTAAAGTGCACAATTATATTGAAGTCCCATGTTTGTTTGTTTTTGGCTTTCCTGTACTGATGACAGTCAGTAATAAGTTTTCCCCATGTTGCAAAATCAATTATCTCATTACCGTGATTGTAGAACTTTAAGAAAACATTGTGCAAACTTTATAGACTGCAGAAAAGTCAGTTTCATGTGATGGCTTAACAGTCATGTCGTCTCTTTCCCTTTGTCCCATCCCAAAGCTCTGAGTACCTATCCACAACCAAGTAAATCAAGCCTGATTGATGTGGCTTTATTGGAGTATTGCTATGTTGCAAAAATATAAAACATTTATAAAACTGCATGTGTTGGTGATTCTCTACCATCTTTGAATATTCTTTGAGGAGAGGTTAGGACTCATATCATTTTTCATAGGGGTTATCTACTGATTTTTAAAAAAAAAAAATAGATTGGGATTTTAATTCCCAGGAAGAAAAGTTTGGAGTTTGGAAAATCCCTTCTGGAGTTACAGAGGTGATGATTTAATGTATGTTCAAAACACACTGCCCAATCTCCAGAGGAAGAAGAATAAATTGTAATAGCTGAGAAACTGACATTTTATGAAGACCAGTTAAATTCTATGTAAATATGAGTTTAGATTTTTGGATTTCATCTCAAGGAAAAAAAATCAGACAAGCTCCTTATGATCTTAGTCTTGGACACTAAATGTGTTATATTCCCTGAATCTTCCTGCTCTTAAATGATTTAAATAAAATGCAAACAAGCTGGAATGATGGTAGTGATGGGTCGATAGTTTCATAAAATGTGGTCTGAACTGCAAGTGGTTTGTGTAAATTATATATACTTGTACACGTTTAAATATTGCTCTATTATGCTTGTATAAATTAGCTAAAGAAAGTTAATTAGAGAGCACTTCATCATACTGCTTAAATGACCAGTCAAACAGTACACATTAACTTTCTCTCGTACAACTGGGTTTTTTTTTTTAATGTGGAATACAGTCAGTTATTGATAACTTCTTTTCCCATTTTGAAAAATTGTGTTTTAGAGGAATCCAACATTTCTTTTAGAAATCTGAAAACCATTAGGTGAAGCCTTCAATTGCCGCCCAGAAACTGTGTGTATGGAGAAACAATTAGTCAGACAAATTGGGTGCTTCATCTGTTTGTCCCTTTTCCTATACGCACTCTCTGCAGTTCTACAGTTCCATTTCACTGATGGGGTGGACCCCACTGCAGTTCAGGTTGTTCACCGAGAAGAGAGGAAAGTCTCATAATTCTTTTTTCCCTGCAGCTTCAGATGGTCAGAAAAAAATAGCCGATACTCCAGCTGTGTTCTTCCCTCAGCAACCACATAAACAGTCACATCCAGAAAAAAGAACAAGAGCCAGCTGTTAATGTCAGGCAATTGCCACAACACAAAAGTAAACTGAAACTGACTGTAACCTTAAACTGGGGGTCTTCAAACTTGGCTCTTTTATGACTTGTGGACTTCAACTTGGCTGAGGAATTCTGGGAGTTGAAGTCCACAAGTCATAAAAGGGCCAAGTTTAAAGACCCCTGCCTTAAACTGTCAATTGCAAGCCCCACCTCAGTAGCAGTTAGGGTGAAAATATTAATGTGAAATAGCTTGTTTCACCCTGCTTGCCCACAGATGAATTGTGGAGGCAGGTATACATGAAATACAGACTGCAACCTACATTATTTTTCAAGTTTGGGAGTGGGACAGAAATCCCACCTTTCAAGTAGAGACCACTTGGCGCCTGTTGTTAGTCCAGACCAGAATTCCCAGGTACTTTTGATATATAACCTTCCAAAATGTTTTGGAGCAATAAGCAAATGGTCATGTCAACTTTGCAAGTAGACCACAGGAAATGATAATAATCACAACTAAAAAAAATCAAGAGGTATAATTTATTCAGGTACATCTCTCTTATAATTGGGACAAGGTGACACAAGCCATTAAGACTTAGGCTTTCTCTTCCATCAATAATGGTATGTGTGAAGTCTTCAATATTCTCCTGGTTTCATTGTAATCTTCCAGGTGCAGTTTTCGGTTCAACAAAATGAATACAATGCAGTTTTTTTTTGAGTGACTTACACATGGAATAGGATTCATATAAATTATTCACACTGTGGGAGGTGTGCATTTAGCACAAGAAACTGCTCTATGGGGACGTTCTAACTCAGGGGTCTTCAAACTTGGCCCTTTTATGACTTGTGGACTTCACAAGGGTGCCTGGCTGAGGAATTCTGGGAGTTGAAGCCCACAAGTCATAAAAGAGCCAAGTTTGAAGACCCCTGTTCTTACTTGAAACATTTTGGAGTACAGGACTACATTTCCCAGAATTCTTAGCTGGTGTGACTACTGATTGGATTGAGGATTTGCAGTCAGAGATTTTTGCCATCTCTGAAGTGTATCCAATGGGTCGAAGGCTGTTTGAGGTGCTAACAAGTCTGCTAATGTAATGGGGTTTCTTAAAAATATTTTAAAGTTTTAAAAACCCACAGAAACCAGGGTAAAATATTAACTGAGAAATTACAGAGTAGATAGTTGTTTACTCTTTTGATGCATGGGAAGCTGGATTCATCCTGTAGACACTTAGTGGGCCCTTCATATTTCCAGAAAAGCGATTCCTGACTCAGTTTGATTCTGTACTACCAAAACCTCTAATAAAAGACCCTGGATTGAGTTAGTGGCTGACCGGATCAAGAATGCTGTATGGGAATATGGCCAGTAAGAAGATTGGAGTGCTGTCCAGAAGTTTTATTTATGACCCTCCCTGTAGACGCACATAAGATAGTACTAAGATTGTCACGGTGTGTGCCACTTTAAGATAGCCAGAATGAATATATATGTAGAAATCTATTTTCCAGTATCCTCAAGTCACACAGATGGGTCCTGTATCATTAAAAATAAATCCAGGCATTGTTTTTCCACATTGGAGCTAAACATTATGAAACTCTTCAATATGAAGAAAACAAATGCAAGAAGAGATGGGAAACAAAAAAATAGCAAAATTTCGCTTCCTAATCTACA